AATATATATATATATATATATATATATATCGCATAATATATATTATATATGATATATATAGATATATATAATATATATATATATATATATATATAGAGAAAATAATTTTGAGGCAAAGCAGTGACTTGAACTGGCTTTCTGGTGATTCCTAGACGCCTGCCTTAACCCACTCAGCCACGGGAGGACAAAAGCCACCAACCCGGAACTCTACTGAATTCATTAGGAGGTTGTGGAGGCCGGGCGACCTGGTGCCCAACCAGGATTGTTACAGTCGGGCCGCCTACACTCTCGCCAGCGGGTAATGGTGCTCACACCCTCACGACGCTCCTTAAGATCACCAGGAGTCTCTCAGGGAACTCAGTAGCGTTCCGGGTGGTCGACTTTTGCCCAATCGTGACCGAGTGAGTTAAAGCGGGTGTCTGGGACTCTCCAGTACGCCGGTTCGAGTCACCCTATGCCCCTGTTACCTAGCAGTAAAATAGGTACCTGGGTGTTAGTCAGCTGTCATGGGCTGCTTCCTGGGGGTGGAGGCCTGGTCGAGGACCGGGCCGCGGGGACACTAAAAAGCCCCGAAATCATCTCAAGATAACCTCAAGATAACCCCCCTTTGCCTCAAAATGATTTTCTCATTGATATCTTACGTTGTTGTTATTGTTAAAGATTCGTACCAAGTAGCACGGGATATGGTGAGCCCCGTAGATTGATACTTCGCGCCACTGTGATTTCTTTGCGATATATATATTATGTTAAAATATTTTCATATATTTTATAACACTCAGAGATCACACTCACGTGATGCATCAAATGAACAAATCCACAAGGGCCGTGACGAGGATTTCAACCCTTTTAGAACTTCGGTTTCAACCCTTTTAACCCTGTCGTAGCTCAGTCGATTAAGGCAGCGTCTGGGATGCTCCCGGACGCAGGTTCGAATCCTCGTCACGGCCCTTGTGAATTTGTTCATATATTTTATATATTATATTTTTATATTAATTATTAATGTATCTAATTGTATCGTGTTAGTCTTATATTTTTGCCTATTTCTTATTGCAAAAATCTTGCGCACAGTTTTTTTTTTGCTGCGGTAATTTGCGCGCGTCATTTGTTATGGCACCAGAGGAGGCACCTAGCTGGCACTTATTTCTGGATCATATGGTAATGTTGCTCTGCCATACCTCCATTAGTGCCACGACACAGGTCCGTGACGAGAGGAAATGGTGCCAGGGGGGAGGGGAGGGGGAGGGGAGGGGGGGGAAGGGGGGGAGGGGAGGGGAGGGGGGGTCATGGTCAGACAGAGCGGCTCTGGTTGTACGTTAGCTCTTGGGCCCCGTCTCCCCAGTTGCTGGGTTGTGTAAGGCAGCGGCTGGGAAGACACTCGAGCTACTAGTAATCCTGTGTGTGTGTGTGTGTGTGGGGCCGACAGCCCTGGAAACACATACCGTAACTGTCTCTATTTTCCGCTTGTTACAACTTGTAATAAAGTTGTTACATCTTGGCTTAACGCGTTTATGACGTATTAGAACGTTGTTACAACTTGCTATATTTTTTGTGATAACTGGTTAGGTGGTGTTAAAACTTGTTCGAACGTTGTACCAACGTCGTAGTTTCGTTGTGTGCCTCACCTTTCTCCTCTTATTCTACCTTTAATTCAGTAATTCCAGGTAAAATATTTACATACATGCTGAGCATCTCTGGCTCTGGCTTCCACCCATAACCTCTCGTTCTGTCTGGGCTAAACCTTTTGTTCTTTACTTATTCCGTATTTCTTTAGGGAACTTTTCACGTCGCAATCATGTCGCTCCTTTAACGTCTCGTATCTGGTGTAATAAAATCTACCTCTCTTAGTTTTCCTCGTGCTATGCTTTGCAAATTCTTCTATGCATCTTATGTCTTTTCACCATCTGGTCACCACTTGGTCCGGGAGACATCTCCCGTCACGCAGGGTGCAGTCGCACCTCCACAGATCTAGAGTATCAGCTCTTGATACTGGTAATGGCTCAAAGGGCCACCACTTACGGGCTATTCATGCCCGTGCCACCTTTTGGGTGGCTTAATCTTCATCAATCAATTCAATCTGTTTAAATCACGGAAGACATCTCGCCGTCACGCAGGGTGCAGTCGCGCCTCCACAGATCTCCAGTATCAGCTCTGATACTGTAATGGCTCAAAAGGGCCACCACTTACGGGCTATTCATGCCCGTGCCACCTTTTGGGTGGCTTAATCTTCATCAATCAATTCATTCTGTTTAAATCACGGAAGACATCTTCCGTCACGCAGGGGTGCAGTCGCGCCTCCACAGATCTCCAGTATCAGCCTTGATCTGGTATGGCTCAAAAGGGCCACCACTTATGGCTATTCATGCCGTGCCACCTTTTGGGTGGCTTAATCTTCATCAATCAATCAATCATTATGTCTTTACCATATTCCTCCTCTTCCTTGTTGATCAGGCCTTTCAGCTCAGGAGCCAGTCATCTTGCATATCTCTGGAGCCTTTCTAGTAATATTTATAAGGTTTTTATTTAATAAAGTTGTTGGTGCTAAGAGACAAAGCTTTTGGTGCTAGAAAGGGAACTATCAGGGGAAAAGCGCCAAGCCATCACGACTATATAGCACTGGGAAGGGGTCAGGATAAGGATTTGGGATGGGACGGGGGGAAGGAATGGTACCCAACTACTTGGATGGTCGGGGGATTGAACGCCGACCTGCATGAAGCGAAACCGTCGTTCTACCGTCCAACCCAAGCGCTGCTAGGCGACATCGTTGGTGGTGAAGGAGACCAAATTCAACTACTCAAAATGTTCTAAGAACATTACCAGTCTGTATTGTGTGATTGTAGTAGGTGATTGTTAGTGATGATGGACCTGTAATTCTGTGGCGCTCCCTTGCACATTGTATACACACACACATCATGTTGGCCGTTGTCTAAACTTCTGGTAAATCTACTTTTTCTTAGTGGGAAGTGTGTGTGTGTGTTCATATGTGTGCCTGCAGGATCAAGCTATAGCTCTTGAACCCCGCATATACTCAACTATTTGTGCCTTCAGAATCGAGCA